TTTTACATTAAATAAAAAAGTTTTAAACTTAATTAAAATAAAACATGTCTTAAATTAAAATAAGTAAACTGTCATGTTTATTGCTGCCAAAAACAAGTTAAACACATTTGGACAGTGAAGGAATGTCAGGATTCTTGCTCAGAAAAAGGATCAACATGCTCTGAAGTCAGAGCACAAAAACCTTTTTTGTACTATCCCTTGATTCTTGATACATCTGAATGAAGCTCGAAATGCTCTGATGTTGTTGGAGAAATGTGCTTTTTTTCCCAGTTGTTGTTTCTCTCAGCTGACTTACAAACAACCAGCAATGCTGTCATCCATGCTTGTGGCTTTTTCCCTATGACTTTAGCAGGCTGATAGAATGTCTCAATTTTTAAAGCCCTTGACCGAGTATTCTTCCTACTGAGCGAAAAGTTAGTTGTGCTTGGATTCAAAGTTCACAGAAATGAGAAAATGTTGTTTTGGTGTACAGAGGTTATCTGAGGATGTGCAGTGGTTTTCATCAGAGGCTTTCAAGCTGCTTAGAAGGGAATTAGAAATTTTGTTTATGCAAACTGTTAGAGATAGATAAGAAAAGATCATCATGTTCCCCTGCATAGTAATCTTATCAGAGAAGATTTTTAATAACAGTAAATAAAATTTATTTATTAAAATAATCTCACAGAGGAGATTACAGATCACAGAGTAATGTTTCTATCTTGAGTTTGTTATTATAGTAGGAAACCATAACTGTAATTAAATTTAAGCCCAGTTGCAATTATGGTTTCCTCGGATTATGAAAACAAGATAATCAAGAGAAAACCATTATTATACAGTGTTTGAGCTCTTTCTGCGACAGGCTTTGGCAGTCATAGTTCAGCCTGAGTTGTTTCAGATCACTTTGGTTTCGAGGAATCTGGAGAGGAACAACTATTACGAAAATCATGTTCGTTGAGTAATAGTTTTATCTGAATTCAGATTTTTCTTTTTTGCTCGGAAAAAATTGCGTCTGACTTCTGTGTGTAGAGATCAGGAGAAATCCTAGACAATAAGAGAACTAGATGGATGTGAGAGAGGACCCAGAGTCTGGAAATGACGTGGTGGCGACTCTGTGACGAACAGAGGGTCTGAAGGGGAAGCGTGCTGGGATTGTTGAAGCTGGATGAGGGGCTCAGTGGTCACCAAATGAGAACAAACAGCCTTTAGTGCAGGAAGACATATATAATCACAGAACTGGAAGGTCTTATAAATTATCTCCAAAGTATTAAAAATGTCCAAAAAAGTATTGAAGTAGAGATGTATGATTGTGCTTAGTCTTATTAACCCTTTAAAACCGGTCAGAGCGGACATGCTCCGTTTTGTGCAACTACTTTTAAATCCCGGTAGCTCTGCAACCATGT